AAAAAAATGAAAACATGAGGGCCAGCCTGTGACCTGGTGGTTAAGGTGACTGGATAGCACATGGTCATCCATGCAGTTCAAGTACTGGACTTGGGGACTTGAGAAACACACCAGGCACGTGTGCATGTGTGTCTAAAATCCCAAAAGGAGGGCGTGGGGGAGGAGAAGGGATTGCGGTATGAACACGCCTATGGGGTTTCGATCTCTCTCTCTCTCTTTTTGCTCTCTGTCTCTGTCTGGTGTCCTTAGACACCAGACAAATTTTGTCCTCAGACAAATTTTTTTAAATTAAACATAACATTTGGAATAAGGGGTGGAAGATTTACAAGTGATCTTTGAATAGGTGGCTTTAATTTCTTCTCTACATTTTTCTCTATTTTTGATTTTTTCTATGGTAAATAAGATAACTGATAAACCGAAATCATAACAATAATATTGACTTTTTAAAAAGATGCTTTGCCACAGGACACATGCACTGGTGAGACACAGAGACAGAGAGAGGGAAAGTTGGCCACACTGCAATCCCGTCTCCTCCGTTCGCCCCCTGAGATTTGGGGCACGCATGCGCACACAGCTGATGTGATTTTCAAGCCGCCGGGTCTGGGACTCGGACCAGGATTCTTAACCACCATGCCAACTGCTGACCCCAAGACTGACTTTAGAAGATGAATATCTGTGGGCTGGCTCCATGGCACAGCACTAATGAGCTGCTCAAGAGAAGACAGATCCCACATGGCAACCATGGTTTGAATCTCTGGCCCAGGCAACCTGAAACACACCAGGCATGTACGCAAGTGCCCAAGAACCTACAGATTGAGGGATTGGAGGAGGGGGATTTCAGAATAGCAGTATGACCAGACCCTTAGGCATGTGCTTATCTCTCTTTCTCATGCTTGCTTGTGTTCTATCATGAATAAAGTACCTGTTTATTGAACAGTAATTACTGGGTCATCAGAAAAGTCATGATGTATTTGTTCATGTATGTATTTGTTCATGACAAACATGTGTCATGACTTTTCTTTTTATTTTTACATCATTTTTAAAAATTTTAAGGAATATTATTCTAAAACAGAAACTCCATT